ACTAATATTCGCGATCTAAAACCGGCGAGACAGAAGCCCGTGGCTCAGTGGTTGTGGCCTTGGACTTCTAACTAACAGGTCACGGATTCAAGCCTTAGATGCTCTCAAAATTATTTTAAAAACAAGAACCGCGTTTCGAGGTTGAGTAGAAGAGTACTTAAATTTTCAGCAGGCATACACAGGAATTTGACCCTGTTATATATTCGTGGGAAAGAAGGAACGCGTTAGCGACCACCGATTTGGGTTCCGTATAGTCGACGAAAGATGAATAAGGTGAAGGAGGCCTCATAAGAAGGCCAGCAGCTTTTTTATTGCAGACAGGGATGAATATCACAAGTTTGCTTTTATGTAACATCTGAAATCACTTGTGCAAAACTAATTAGAAAAGGAGGACCTGAATATCCTACGCAGTTATTCAATCCTTTACAATTTGGTTATTGGGTATGAGCTAGGCAAATCACGCTTTCATTCTGCAACTGCACTTTTCGAGGGAGTGTTCAAACTTAAAAGTCCACAAGTAAAGATTTTAAATGATACCAGTGGCATACTCGGCTTCGTGGTAGATCTCAAGCAGTGCATTCGTACTCCCTATGCAACCTTGCGAGCCGCCCAAATCGGACGTTTGTATCTTGTCCAGACTGAATGCAAAGGCAATCAGGCTGTCATTTCCTTCGCCAAAAAACACCTGGTTTTAAAAAGTCTTCTCAAGTGACGAGATAGAAGGCCGGAGCGTTGGGTTTTACGAATGGGTTCTCCTTTCTGTTTAGCAGTAGGTTGGTAGGATTGGTGAAAAAATAGTCGCCTTCGAAGTGTGTTGAAGCATACCTGCTTTGGAGATCCAAATGACGTCACGATTTCTAGCGGTTTCTCTCTCTGACTTACTTACATATGTAACATTTTTGCCGCCAAAAATAATAATGCAACCACACACGCAATCTTCCGTGTGTGAACGAGATCTCTTTCCATAGGGATCTGTGAAAAGATAAGCAAAATGTTGTTTGTTTGAGAAAAACGCATCAGGCAGTACCCGCACCTTTTTCACAGCGGGCAAGTTCACTCAGCTTTTTTGTCTCGTGCATCTATCTTTATCGTGTCTCTTCAAAGGCCAAAAAATACCGAAACTGCATTACAAGTTGACCACGACGACGCTTTACGACCGCTCTGGTGTTAATCTCACTGAGGTCTCAGCGCCTACAAAGAGAGCACTTACGCCCCAAAGACATGACATTTGAAATCCTTGCGGTCACGGTGATGCTTACATTTCGCAGAATGTAATGACATGGGCCTGCGGCGCAACAAACAAGCCGAGCTATAAAAGGGCCATACTGGCTCGCGACAAGCCTTTATGGGGCTGTGCTAATTCCACGAGATCATATTTACAGCTGTAAATTTGCTTAGGCCTTCAAGTTGTGATAGACATCGGACTCAACACTATCACCCCTTGGTTGATAGGCTCGCAAAGTCAACAGGGCAAAAGTAGCTTGTGTAGCCCCACTCATATACCCCTAGGCCCAGGATTTTGTCCCGCAAAAACGGTGGTTATAGAGTTTTGCGGGTGCAAAAACAGGATAGGCAGAGAAGGAAATTTTTAGAAAGTAAGCGTAAAGTGAAAGCATGTAGTCGAATTTGCTTCCCGCGGCCGCTGGAAGCAGGTTGTTCGCATGTAAACTGAAGGTGTGCGCGGCGCTTCGGGCCGCGGACTATACTAATCTAACTCCAGA